GCGGCTCCTGCCCGGGTCTGTCCCTGCGGCTCCTGGTGACCGCTGTCCCCTCCGTCCCCGCTGCCACCAGCGCGGTCCCTGGACAGTTTGGGGACATCAACTGGTCAACCCTCTGCCCGGCTCCATCTCGGAGCCCGAGTCTCCCACTGGGCTTGTCCATGGGGGTGGGTGGCTCCTTCCATCCGGCCACCTCCGGAGTGCCACACAGGTCCCCTCTGGGGACAATCCGTGGGGGGGGACAACTACCGAGCCCGCGTCACCCCTACGTCACCCCCAACATCTCAGAGCCGAACCGCCGTCCTCCTGCCTCGTGGTCCCCACCGCCATCGCCGGGTGGAGGACACCTTCCGGGCTTCCTAAACCTCCTCCTGATGCCACCTCTGGTATTGTCCACCTCCTGATGTCACCTCTTGATGTCACCCCCTTGTCTTGGCAGCGCTGAAGAATGTAAACAAGTCTGTTGGGCCCTGAGGGACTTCACCCGCTTGTTCCGATAGCTCCCGCTCCGACGCGGCGCCCGTCTCCCAGGTAAGAGCCGGCGCGGAGCGGGGGGACCGTCACCTCTGCCCCACGGTGACATCGGTGGCACCACACGGGAGAAGCAGGTGAGAGGAAGGAGTCACCCCATCTCGTTCTCTCTCTTTTTCTCTCTCTTTCTCTCTCTCTCTCTCTCCACCTCGAAATTGTTGCCCAAAATTAAAAAAGCTACTTATGTTTTTTCACTGTAATCCTTCTGTAAGAACTTGAAATGTAAAGGTCTACCATGTGCCAACATGGGCCACTTACTAAATCTTAACTTTGCAAGATTTTTAAGGACACCGACAGCATTATCTATGAAAATTCTACTTTAATGGAGCATGCTGAGTGGCTGCACAACTCCTGTGTGCTGGGCAAATAACATAGACAGACACACACAGAGACACACGCTCCCCACCCCCCAAAACCGGCTCCCGAAACGCGACAAAAAACCAAACCAACAAACAAACAAAAAACTCCAAACAAACAAAAAACAGCCAATTTTGGGGTGCGGAGGGAGGGGTGGGGGGGAATAACCACAAAATAACCCAACCCCCCCCAAAAAAAACCCCTCACACCGAACACCGGA